CTTCTGCTTTGCAGCACGTATTCTGTGACGAGTGCATCGCTCTGTGGTTTAACCGGGAGAGGAGCTGCCCCCTGTGCCGCACAGTCATCACAGACAAGGTGTACAAATGGAGAGACGGCGCCACGTCTCCACACCTGCAGATTTATTGATTGGCGGGGTGCAGAATTTTGCGCATGTGGGACTGCGGCATTCCTTTTTTCATGTATTCCAGCTTTTCTTTTTCCTCTTGGAACCACAGCAGGGTTTGGTGTTGTGCTCATTTTCAGTAGAGTGATAAGGGCTATGCTACCTGAATGCCAGACGCACTAATGGACACGAGTTGCACAGCCTGAATGTTTCTCTACCAGCTCATCTCTTCTTCCACAGAAATCTCATGTTTATTAAATATTTTTTCCCCTTTTGAGCAGAATCACTGTTTTCACCTTTTCATGTCACTGGAACACTGGAAAAAGATCTAGAAATAAGTTAAAATTTCCTAAATTAAGTGTATTTCCCCTTATTTGAGTCGGTAAATCAGATAGTTTGCCAATGGATTTAGTGTTTTTTTTTTTCTTTTCTTAAAATAAGATAATTAGATAAGATGCACTTGAAATAAGATGCAATTGTGTTTTCTTATTTTAGGTGTAAATTGTCTGGTTCCATTGTCAAAATGTCTTTTTTACCTCCTCGATCCAAGAACAAATTCACTTATTTAAAGAAAAAATGACTTATCTAGTTTTCGATTTTTTTCCAATGTTAGACCCACTATATGGGGCTGAAAATTGTTCTGTTGCCTAATTTTTAATTTCTTGACATCAGGCAAGTTACATCAAGTATTTAAAAGTCAAATGAGCAAAACATGTCATCATCCAGCAGTTTTAATTTCTGATAAAGTTCCTGATAAATGTAGAAAGTGTTGAACTTGTTTTTCCCATATCTGGTGAAAAGAAAGAAAAATCAACTTTGAGATTTACTCATAAATTATTTTTCTATTGGGGTGACTTCACTGTTTATATAAAGACCAAAGATTGGAATCTATTTTATGTATTAAAAATGATTTCATCAACTGTCTAAATAAAGATTTACATTTAAATTATTGTGGAAATTATGAGCTTGGAAGGAATCCTTTAATGAAGATAAGAGTAAATATTGGGAACATTTTACCTCCTGCTGCCTTTGTTATGAAATGACCCTTAAATTGGTCATTTTAGGACTTTTTCCATTCATTTAAAATCAAACTTGGTAGAAAATAAAAGTGCTCGTATCTTTTAGTCCTGAAGGAGTTTGATCGCCACATTTAAAGTCCCTTTGAAAAGGAGTCAAACACCTGAAGTTTTAAGCTATTGTCTTTGAGTGGATTTAACATTTGAAATTAGCCCACAGTTTTACATTTAAGATCCATTCAGCCATATTTTAAATCAATACAAATAATATGAAATATTTGATTTTTTTTTTACACTATAAACCAGGTTAGTAGAGAGAACGAAAATTAAAATGTAGAAAAAAGTTTCAACTGGAAGGAAAAACAAATTGTTGTATGTTTATCAAATATATGAACATGATTAGATGTATAATAGAGCTGGGCAATATATATCACTATAGATATGAAATACGAGTAGAAAATACCTCCAATACATTTTAGTAGCTCCTCTGGGCTCTGATCTAGAGCCACATGGTATTTTGGGACATTAGCAGAGGAAAGGATTTTTCCTTTCCACATCTCACGGAAAAACAAAGCAAGATTTTCTATTTTTTAAAGGTTACTTTTAAATTCAGGATTTCTCTTTTTTAACCCAGCTAGTTTTGTCGAATTGTAAACTAATTGGTTTGAAAAACTGACTTTCTGAGCATTGCAAACTGATCTGAAATATGTTTTTTCTTTTTAGACAGAACACTGTTAAAATTTGGCTATAATTTAACCAGGTTTGAAAATGATGTTTTTGAATAATGTGTCTAAAAAATAACCTAAGTATGAGGAAAAAACCCAAAACTAAACGTACTACTAGAGCAAATGAAAAGTAAACTGCAATGAGCTTCATCAAAACTATAGTAACTAGTTGAAACTGAATTGGATAAAAAAACAGGAGTATTTTCCTTGATTTTAGCAGG